TAACCTAACCGTATTCTTCCATCAACCTCTCTTATCCATATCACTCCGGTATGTAACCTAACCTTAACGCATGAACGTATTTTACTTCTATCGTTACATTTCGTTTTGTGCATCCTTTTCGTATCCTATCTCAAACATATGCTTGAACACATCGTACCGTAATTATTATCATACAACGGAAAAACTAGATTCAAAATTTCCCATGTTCTAGTGATCTTTGTTTCCAAATCTTTCCTTATCTCAGTATTTACTGTTAACACATTTTCTTGGTCATTCTGTTTTTAATTTATTCATTTGCTACTGATATAAATTTAATCTAATATTACTACTTGATTTACTAGAATTTATTGACATTTAGTTTTTAACTCAAAGCTAAACTTGTAATAATTCAATGAAAATCTAGGCTGTGATTTCTAAAAAGAATAGGATAAAAGAAAACAAAAATTTAATATATATATTGGTCAGATTAGTAAATCTCCCGTGAATCTCACCTTGGTAGAAGTCATTCTCATCTTTTTTCTAAGTAAATCTGAGGATTATTGTTTTTCTGTTTCTTTTTGCAGTAACGTTACTGGCCCAGGTTGAGAAGAGATAATTGTGGGAAGGGATGAGAGGTCAATGGAGAGAAGTAGGGAAAAGTTATTTATTTATTTATTTATTATATTATTTTAACTATTTTTTATAATTATTTTTATTTATTTATTATTTATTATTTTTTTTAGGCTATTACAGTCTTTCTCTGATTTCTTTTGCGGGGAATGACGAATCCTTCCTTTCTATTGGTAGTCAAAATAAAATGCACGTTTGATCGACATAATCGAAAATATATTTATTGACTAATTTGAGTAACTTTATTGGAATCCTTACATCCCACCAACACGGATATACTCACCTATAGGAATTGAGAACCCTAGCTCAACCGGTAGAGTCATCTTGAACCACTAAAGTTCTAATAGATAACTAAGCACATTAACTGTACAAGGTGTTGGGTTCTTACTACCACCCTGAACTAGAATAATCTGTTTTCGCTCCAAATGTTAATTAAAAAATCTAAGGAAAGTCGAGGAACGGGAAAACATCGACTTTTGGGCATTTTTAAGAATTTACATTCTCCATATAACATAAAGTTTTTAACAACAAAAACACTTTATCTTAAAACTATGATCTCCATTCTTTTGTCCACTTTAACGGATTATTTTTAAGTATATTATAAGTAAAAAGGTGGTAGAAACTAGAATGAACAGTGCAGTAGTAATAAATGCGAGAATATTTACTTCCATAATCTCATCGTTTCATTTTTTATTCGCAATAACTTCAGATTTAATCCCATAGAGATATAAATGTTTCGCTTCTAAATTCAATGGGCTGCATTGCATCTACATGATATCGAACCGTATTAAAATATGATGAATAACAATATCGGAGCTATCAAATCGATTCATCGTCGAGAATTGAATAGTATAACATAGGAGAAGATCTATCCATACGGAATTCAAACAAAATGGGATTCCTTATGCAATAAAAAAATTTTGTACTTTTTTTATTTCTAATTTTTTGCATTCTATATAAAACTAATAGACAGACAGAATCAATAGACTAAAAAAACATCCAGAAACACAAACATAAAGATATAAATGTTTCGCTTCTAAATTCAATCAAATATAGATCTATTGATTATTCGAGCAACTTTATTGAGATTCTTGCATCACACAAACACAAATACACTAACAATGTGTAGGAATTGAGAACCGTGGCTCATAGAGTCAACTACTAGAGTCGTGTTGCACAAAAATTGATGGGATAAAATATTAGTTTCAATAAATTTAAAAGTTTTGTTATAATTATAAATTAGAATGTATCAACATTATTATATCACAATTTATATATATTTTTATTTTTCAAAACAATGTAGTGTCTTCCAAACTGGTACGAGTAAATCTAGTTCAATGTAAGTGAAATATCTTTATAGTTTTTTTTGTTTGTTTGTTAGGTATAGTTTTTTTAAACTAATCATTCTTATTATTTTTTAATTTCATGAATTATTCTTCTATTTTTTCTTATTAATAATTATTTAGTTATCTTTAGTTTTATAACTATGTTAAGATGTTACCATTTTTCGTTGAATTTTTTTTTTTTTTTTTTTTTTTTTTTTTTTTTTTTTTTTTTTTTTTTTTTTTTTTTTTTTTT